GTGACAGGACCCCCCTCCACGGTGACAGGACCCCTCCATGGTGACAGGATCCCCCACGGTGACAGGACCCCCCCCATTGTGACAGGCCCCCCCCGTGACAGGACATATCACGGTGACAGGACCCCTCCACTGTAACAGCAACCCCTCCACGGTGACAGGACCCCCCGTGACAGGACCACTCCACGATGACAGATACCTCCCGTGACAGGACCCCCCCCACGGTGACAAGACCCCTCCACGATGACAGGACCCCCGTGACAGGACCACTCCACGGTGACAGGACCCCTCCACGGTGACCAGACCCCTCCACGGTGACAGATACCCCCGGGTGGCAGGCCCCCTGATCTCAGGTGTCCACGCACCACAGGGCCGCTGGACTCGAGGCGGCTCCCTCGGCGGCGGGGCCAGAGCACAGCCTCCTGCGCTCCCCTCACTTCCCAGAAGTGTGGCCGCGGGTCGTCCGCTCCAGGGGTCGGAACCCCGACACGACACGGGAAGACAAACGCTCCGAGACGGGGAGCCGAGGAAAGAGGCTTGCACACACTCTGCGGAGGAACAAGGGGCCCAGGCTCGGAGCGCTCTGAGTGACCGCCTCCAGAGACCTCCCGCCTCGGACTGAGAGGAACACACCTCCCAGACTCGGCCAGGACTCAGGGCGTAAACCAACGCGCGCCGCGGGGCAGTGTGGGCCGCCCCCTCCTCTTTTCCCACAGGCAGTCGCGGGGCGGGGCGGACTCCTCGCGCGGGCCACGGAGGCCCCGCCCACGCGCCGGCCCCTCCCGTGGGGCTGGTCCGGGCCGCCCTTCCCTGGGGGACGACGCAGCGCGCGCGCGTCGGCGTCATGGCGTCGGCCGGCCTGCCCTGGCTGCTCAGCCGCTTCCCGGCCGCAGCGTGGAGACCGGCAAGTAAGGCGCCCGGCCCCGAAGCCAAGATTGCGGGCGGCGTCAGGAAGGCAGGGGCGCCGCGGGGAGCGTCCCGCAGGGCAGCGTCCCGCGGGGGAGCCGCGTCTGTGCCGGCTTCTCCCGGCAGGCGCCTCGCCGCCGGGTCCCGCGGCCGTTCCCGCCCAGCGCGCTGTGGCCGAGGGCGCGAAGGTTCCGGCGTTTGCGGGGCGCGCAGCGCGGCGCCCGGATGCTCGGGGACGGCGCGGGGCGTCCGGTCACTGTGCGCTGACCTCGGGAAGAGCGGGCGCGGCTCACGGTGTGAGGCGGGGCGCGGGGACGGGGAGGGGAAGGCGCCGGGTGCTACCACAGGGAAGGTGCGCGGGCGTCGGGACAGCGCCTCCTCAGCCGTTTCTGTTGGAAGTTCTCCTCAGTATATGGGGGTCTTAACCGCGGAATGTGCTGACCGCAGCTCCGAGTCAGCGCGTCCGGGAGAAGCGTGTCCAGGCTGAGGCGGAAGCGCTGCCCTGGGAGTGACGGCCCGGACGTTCCCTCCTGAGGTCGTTTCTCCCCAAACGGGAGCGCGTCACGTGGTGCTTGTATCTCCGCCCGGTGCCCCAGGGCCTCAGGGCTGGTTTGGGAGCGCTTAACTGTTTTTCCAAATTGGTTTTACACTTTTGTTGTGATAAAGAGATGCAGCCACCTCCCCACCCCCCCCACCGGACCGAGCCTCTCCACGAGGGCTGCGCCCTGACCGGCGCCTCATGTTTAACGCAGAGGTCGCTCCAGGAGGAGCTCGGCCCCGTCGTGTGCGAGCGAGCGTGGGCTCCAGCTGAGCCTCGCGAATACCCGCCTCTCCGTTCTGAACGTCCGTTCCCCAAACACATAGAACTTCCTGCTTCCCTCCGTGCAGGACCCTGGCTTTGGAAATGACCCCCGGTGGCCTCCTGTTTGCTGCAGATAGACTTCACTGTGTAAAGAGCTCCCATCGGCGGGGAGTCGTACTAGCCCACCGGGAGGCGAGCCCACTTGGTTCGGTTTTAGATGGCCCAGAAATGAGTTACACAGCGAGTGCGAGTCCCAGGTTATGTAAGCCGCGGTGACTAACTGGAAATGTTTGTGTGTTCATTCAGCATCCCTCTGCAGTAGTGTTGAAAACTTAAGAATGAAGTGTTTGACACGAAAAACTTATGAAACAGGTGTGAGTTATGAAGCGAAGCCCACCGGTGTGACCCCCATCCTCCGGTTCAAGGAGCAGACTGTCCACTACCCGCCGGCTCCCGGTGTAAAGTGGCACGTTTTTGGTCTTTATAGAAATGGCTTCGTACTGTTTGTATTTCTTTTACTTGCTTTTCTTCACCTAGCACTGTGTTTTGGAGTCATCTGTATGGATGTGCGGAGTTGCAGTCGTTCATTCAGCTGTGAGAAGATACCTTCCATCTCCCATTTTCCTTCTCAGTGGACATGGGTGATTCTAGAACACCAGCCTGGCTGCTGCACATCCTTGTGCACCTGTGGGCGCTTTGTGCAAAGACCGGACTTCTGGAACAGGCTTCTTCCAGTTTGCAACACGATGCCGAGTTGTGCTGGCATCCGTTGTCTTCCTTTCCTCCTGGCACTCAAACCTCTGCCCACAGTGTATTAGAATTCCTGTTGCTCCACATACTTGCCAATAGTCAATGGCATCAGAAAATTTAATGTTTGTCTGCCTATAGGGTGTTTTTTTTTTTTTTTTTGGTGAGGAAGATCAGCCCTGAGCTAACATCTGTGCCAATCCTCTTTTTGCTAAGGAAGATCAGCCCAGAGCTAACATCTGTGCCAATCCTCTTTTTGCTAAGGAAGATCAGCCCTGAGCTAACATCTGTGCCAATCCTCTTTTTGCTGAGGAAGATCGGCCCTCAGCTAACATCTGTGCTAATCCTTCTCTTTTTGCTGAGGAAGACCAGCCCTGAGCTAACATATATTGCCAATCCTCCTCATTCCCCCCCCCCCAAAGCCCCAGCAGATAGTTGTATATCATAGCTGCACATCTTTCTAGTTGCTGTATGTGGAACGCGGCCTCAGCATGGCCAGAGAAGCAGTGCGTGGGTGCGCACCTGGGATCCAAACCCAGGCCACCAGTAGTGGAGCGCCAGCACTTAGCCACGAGGCGGCCCTCTGTCTGTAGGGTGTTGAAATGGTATCTCTTTGTGATTTTGCTTTTTTCTGATTAGAGAAGTTAAACATCTTTTCAAATATTTATCAGCTTCTTTTTGTGAAACATCTCTTCATTTTCTTAAGGCATTGTTTTTCTTTTTTTTTTTTTAATAATTTTATTTATTTATTTTTCCCCCCAAAGCCCCAGTAGATAGGTGTATGTCATAGCTGCACATCCTTCTAGTTGCTGTATGTGGGACTCGGCCTCAGCATGGCCAGAGAAGCGGTGCGTCGGTGTGCGCCAGGGATCCAAACCCAGGCCGCCAGCAGCGGAGCTGGAGCACTTAACCGTTAAGCCACGGGGCCGGCCCAGGCATTGTTTTTCTTATCTGTATTCTTTACATATATTTAAGTACTAAACCTTTTTTAGTTATGTGACAGATTTTTTTAGTTTGTGGGCTGTCTTTGTCACTATTCTGCTGTCTTTTTGAAAAGTCATATACAACAGTAGACAATAGAACAATGGATCAGCAGGGACAATCATGGAGCTTCAGAAGAAAGGTGTCTTTTGATGAACAGATATTCATAATTTTATCGTAATCTTGTTTTGATCCTTTTGTTTATTGTTAGTGCCTTGTGGTCTTGTCTAAGAAAGGCTTCCCTACCCTTCACAGAGAAATTCTCCTATATTTTCTTCTCAGGAGTCTATAGTTTTGCTTTTTATCTTTAAGGCTTTATTCTACCAAAAATTGATTTTCGTGTATGGAGTGCGGCAGGAAACCAATTTCATTTTTTTTTTCCATGATAATAACCAGTTGTCCCAGGTCTCTGTATTGGACGTCTCCCCCACTGATGTAATGCCAGCTGTCATACATCAAGTCTACATGTACATGTATGTGTCAGTTTATTTGTTGGCTCTCTTTTCAATTCCTTTGATCTATTTTTCTATTCCTGTGCTGAACCACCTGTCTTGATAACCATACCTTTGTCATAAATCTTGATATCTAGTAGGGGAACTCCTCCCATCTTGTTTTTCACTAGTGTCTTGGTTATTCTTAGGTATCTGCTCTTCATATCAGATTCTTAAAAAAAAGAATTTCCTGTTGGGATTTGATTAATACTGCTTGATATTTTTTTAAATTATCATTTTCTGATTGCGGCTTATGTATAGAAACACAGTTGATTTATTGATTGATTTTGTATCCAGTAACCTAGCTAAGTTACTTTATTAATTTAATTTATTTGCATATTTGGAAGGGTTGCTAGGTAGAAACTCATATTATCTGCAAATAATGAAAATCTAGTTTCTCCCTTTCCAATTTTTATATCTTTTTTCTTTCTCTTTTCTGTCCCTGCTCAGATTTCCAGTACCACATTGACTAGAAGTGGTGGTAGCAGGCATGCTTATCTTGTTCATGATTGTAAAGAGCATGTGTTCATATTTCATCGTGTCATGTAGCTGTAGATGTGCCCTTTATCAGGTTAACGAGGTCCCCTGCTGTTTGTGGAAGGGTTTTTTGTTTATGTATTTGTTTTTTAAGACTGAATAAATCTTGAAATTTACTGAATTCATTTTTCTTCATCTTCTTGGGCTGATGATATCATTTTTCTCCTTTCTTGGGCTGATGATATCATTTTTCTCCTTTAATTGGGTGAGTTGGTAAATTATAGATTTTTCTAGTGATGAATCTTGCATTCCTAGAAAATATTCAAATTGATTATGATAATTATATTTTTTAATGTTGGATTTGGTATGGTAATGTTTTATCTAGAAATTGGCCTGTATTTTCCTCTCTTGCAATTTCCTTTTTTTCTGGTTTTGAAATTAAAGTTATTCTAGCCTGCTACAATGAATTCGAGAGTCTTCTCGCCCTTTTCTCCTCTTTGTTATATTTTGTTTAAGATTGAAATTATCCATTCCTTGAGTGTTTGCTACAACTTGCCTGTAAAACTATCTAGACCTCTTTTTTTTGAGGGAAAATTTTAAATTACTGGTTTATTTCTGTAATAGTTATTGTACTATTTATCAGATTTTCTCTTCTTAAGACAGTTATGATAAGTTCAGTTTTTCTGGAAAATTATTCATTTTGTATACTTTCAATATAGACATAAAGTTCCTTTTTTTCTTTTAATTTCTGGTCTCTATAATTATGTACTCTGTTTTCTTCACATTATTTTGCCTTCTCTTGTTTTTTTCATATTAGCCTTACCAAAGACTTCACAGTAGTTTTAGTCTTTTAAGAGAACAACTTTTGGTTTTGTTGATCTTCTCAGTTTTATGTCTTTTGTTTATGTTATTATTTTCTTCTCTCACTGTTATTATTTTCTTTCCATTTTCTGTGGGTCGCCCCCTTTTTTTTTCCCAAAGAAAATGGAAATGATGCATCTCACATGTCTTAGTCAGTTTGGACTGCAATAACAAATTACCATAGACTGGGTGGCTTAAACACCAGACATTGATTTCTGTCAGTCCTGGAGGCTGGGAGGTCCAAGATCAAGGTGCCATCACGCCTGGTCTCTAGTGAGAGCCTACTTCCTAGTTTGCAGATGGCTGTCTTCTTGTATCTTCTTGTGGCAGAGAGCTGAAAGCTACAGCAGAATCTCAGATCTCTTCTTATAAGGCACTAATACCAATAATGAGGGCTCTGCTCTGATGACCTAATTACCTCCCAAAGGCCCCACCTCCTAATACCATCACATTAGGGGTTAGAATTTCAACATATGAATTTTGGAGGGACACAAACCGTCAATCCATAACATGGGTCCTTTTTTTTTTTGAAACATGGTAATGGTGCTTCTGATATAAACAGCATGTGACTGGATTTTGTATTTTTTTTGGAGTCTGACAGTCTGTACCTTTTAACTGGAGAGTTCAGTCCATTTACAATTAT